CACTGTGATAAATTTTAATATTGTACGTATTTCCACACTACTCTACAATGCTGATAAACCTACATAATTAAACATCTTGAAATGTTTAATGCACATTTTTTTCTGCATTCTAAGTCTGATTGCAGAAATCATACCTATCTTGCTCAAACTTGTAACCCAGAACCAGGCTAGTCTGGTGCACAAGAAAGCTCTTGATAGTAAGTTTCAGTCCAAAAAATGCAACAAAATCAATAATAGTTTTAAAATAATATATTATTAATTATAAATAAAACTGTATAAAACTTAGAAGGAGGAAAAAGTGGCATGATTTAGCGAGCAATGTTAAAGCTATCAACTTCCCATGAACTATGTAACAAGGTATAAAGAGAAGTGGCATCTTTAAATGTTTCCTAAAATGGCAAGTTTTTATATATATATACGTAAAATATATTTTTATGTATATATATGTAAAATATATTTTAAATATATTTCATATATATTTTACATATATTATACATATATATGCAAAATATATTTTATGTATATATGTAAAATATATATTTTTACATATATACATAATACATACATTTGAGAGCTATACATGAATATATGTTGTACATATATACTTTATATATATTTTACATATATATAAATATATTTTTTACATATATACATACATTTGAGAGCTATACATGAATATATATTTTACATATATATATTTTATATATATTTTACATATATTATACATATATATATGTAAAAACTTGCACTACTGGTAGCTGAACTCCAGAACCCTCACACTGAGCTATATATCCCTATATCTCCAGTACTTTTTTCAATCTTTTATTGTGAAACAGGGCCTAAATCACTAAGTTGCCCAAGCTGGGATAGAACTTACAATTGTCCTGCCTCAGCCTTCCAGACTGCTGTGACGTGCCTGGCTGATAAATATCTAACTTTTACAATACAGTTCATTATGTAAGGCAAGTTTAATAAAATTAATGGTATTTACCTACCTATTTTCTAACAGTTTCATACAAGAACTGTTTTATAAAGGATTTCTATTCAGTTTTAGAACTATGTCATTAAATGAGCCATGTTAATTAGGACCAGAACCTATGTTAATGTTAAACTTTTTTTCTGTAACCACATTTGACGGCATGTTCACACCCATTTAATTCAACAAACTAAATTCTCTAATGAAAATATGACAGCTAAGTTGAATATGAGATGTTAAAAATTAGTTTTCCTCTTATATTTTATAGATAAAAATTATTTCATCAAATCCATGTTGCATAATTTATAGAATCCATGAAATGAAAAAATCTCATTCTATATTTACAATTTAAGCATAATTCTATTTTTTTCCTTTTAAAATTTTACCTTTAATATACATGTTTGTAGAACATAATGATTACATTCATCATGAGGAGTTGGTACATGTATATAACACATCTTAATTCCTTTTACTTTCCCTTCCCCTACTCTCTCTGCCCCGTCACTTCATTCTCTTGGTCTTCTCCTTATTTGCAAAGGATCGTATCTCCCTGTTTTCTATTATGGCATAATTTTAAACAAGTATCTAAAAGCCATTTGAATTATTTTTAACATGCTTGTAACACAACAGCAAAATCCTTTTTAAAAATACATTTCCAAGAAGTGATACAGAAAAAAAAAAGCCTACTGAAATTTATATTATGTTTTCTTAATATAACATTTGACATATGATTTGACCATGACAGTGGAGTTCACGCAAAACTTTAGTCAAAAAAGGAAAAACAATTTTCTATAAAATGACAATATGCTGTCAACACCCTAGCTCTCAAACTAATACCTTGAAATTCTAATTGTTATACTGAATCAGGAAGAAAAGTACAACTTTGACTAATCCAGTCAATATTTACTCAGAGCATATCAGATACCAGGCACAAGGTTAGATGGTAAAGAAAATACAGAGACACTAGCTGTTGTCCAAAACTCAATTTAGTAGGGTAAGCTAACATGTGTAAACAAATGTATGAAGTATTATGACAAGAATATGAAATAATCACAGTAAGGAAATACTGCATCATGTTTAAGCACTGGACTCTACCATTCAAACAGTTCTGAAAACCTGGGTAAATGACAACCTCCCAAAGCCAGTTACTTTATCTGATAAGCGGGGAATGATAATGGCATTCATTACAACAGGGTTGTTGCAAAGTGATACATGGAAAACTCTTACAACAATGCATTCCAGTGAAATATTGACATGAAGAGAATACAGGCAAAGGGTTCAGTGTAATTCTGTATTTAATAGTGCTGGCTAGATAAGAACATGGGAAGGAACAAGGGAAGCCCAGGGAGACACTGATGGAAGACATCCTACTGGAAATAAGTAAGTTCATTACGTTAAAAATATTAATATGATCCGTATTTAAAGCCTCAAACATGGAGCTGAATTTCCCAAAGGATTCTCAGAGAAAATTCAAACTTGGAGTCAACAGCAACAAAAGAGAGGCACAGTGAAGGGGCGGTCATTCTGGGCAATTAAAGAGCCGAAAATTTTTGGTCTGACTAAACACCTCAAATGTCATTCCAGAGACTGTGTTCATTCAGCTTGGAAAGGGTTCCTAATGGAATGTAGAGGTCTAAAAAGCAAGACAGCAGAGGCAGACGTAAATCTGCTTCTCTGTATGGTGATAGAGAAGGACAGCAGAGGAAAGCAGACTATACCTAGCAGAAAATGAACCAGAGAAGCGTTTCTCAAACACGAAACTACTGGCATTCAGAAAGATTGCCTTTATGCACAGGAGTATTTCCTATCAAATACCTCTAGTAGTCCAGTTGTTGGACCATGAAAAATTTCCCTTACTTACTTCCTAACGCTGTTATTAGAGGTGAGACCACCCTCTCTCCTTTTATTCCTCCAATTTAAAACACTGCAATACTGTGTTCTATCTCCAAGGTATTCCTCCTTCTTATTTTTGCTATTAAGGGTTCCCACCTGCTTTGTGCCTATAAATCCAAAGTCACCTGAGGACAAACTCACTGCTCATCACCTACTCGTCTTCCCATTCTAAAGGGGGTTGGAGAGGAAAGGAGGAGGGCAGCCTATATGCTGGTACTACAGAGGAAATCCTCAGGGGATATCTACTCTGAACCAGTCAGCCTCGTCCTGCATTGACAATTATACACCAGTAATTACAGATCACCGAGCATTTGAAGAAAACATCAGCGATGATGGACAAAGCTGAACAAACCAAACTACAGGGGAAAAGTAGGAAAGATGGTACTGAGAATAGAAAAGAATAAACTTCCATTTTTGATTGGCACTGCTGGAAATTAAATTCAGGGTCTCATGTATGGTAGGCAAGTACTCTACCACTGAGCTATACCCCTAGCCCTTAAAATTTCATTTTTATTAGCATTCTCATGGGTAGGTGATAGGCTACTGCATCCATACAAGAACAAACCAATAGGAGAGAAAATGGAGTAATCCAAAAGTAAGGAAAATTCTTGGAGTTGGTACATGTTCATAATACCTCAATTCTTTTATCATTCCCTTTCTCTCCCCTCCTACCCCTAACTTTCCATCACCTCAATCTCTTTCACACATTTGAGAAAGATCTCTCTTCCTAAGGTTTTTATAGAAAGAAACTCGGTGTTTCTGTTCTAGCGCTTACCTTTGTGTATGTATACACATATACCCTTATATCCTTACTCCTGTTTGTTTTGTTTTTGTTTATTCATTTTTTGAGACAGGGTTTCACGGTGTAGTTCAGGCTGGCCTCAAATTTGCAATGATGCTCCTGCCTCAGTCTGCCAAGTGCTGGAATTACAGGTGTGCACTGCCATAAGTTTTTTGTTTATTACCTGGTTTATCAAGGCCTTTAAAATTATCCTTTAATACCACACTACTCTGTATACAATAACAAACTTCTTAAAAATTTCTTCTTCCTTCTCCTCTCATTTTTTATAGTTGCATTATTTCTAATTCATCACATGTTTATTTGTATCCTTCTTTGTGAATTTAAATTTTAATTTCTTTGGGTAAATATTTAGGAGTGGCAATGTCGCATCATATGATAAGTGTACCCTTAACTACATTTCAAAAATTAATGAACTCTTACTATACTATTCAACACTATATCATCCCACTGGGCATCCACAGGGCAATATGGGACTTGCGTAGTGGTGTACCAGTATTTCTGTATATAAAATCTTATATCATAAAACATATTCTTCAGGGTCAGAGCCACACATGCATAACTAAATTTTATAAAGAATCTCTTTTGCTGGTCATGGTGGTGCATACCTGCAGTCTCAGTTACTTGGGAAGCTGAAGTATAAGACACATTTGATTGGTTTTGTTTGTTTTTGTTTTTGTTTTTGGTTTGAGACAGGGTCTCACTATGTAGTTCAGGCTGGCCTGGACTCACTATGTATCGCAGACTGGCCTCCAACTCATGGTGATCCTCCTGCATTAGCTTCCTGGGTGCTGGGATTAGAGGAGTGTGCCACCACTCCTGGCTCACAAGAAACATTTGAGCCCAGGAGTTTGAGGCTAGAAGGGGAAACATAGCAAGACCTTGCCTCAGAATAAACAAATGATGATAGAAATAAAAATAAAGAATTTCTTTCCATACTTCCTCTCTCTCCATAATCTGTCTGGTACTTTTGGTTCTCTGGGATACCATTTTCCAATCCTCTTGCCACAAATCTGGAGCTTTATTTATGCCACTCTGCCATGTCCTTTCTATAACTACACTTATGTCCAGGTTCAAGCAGGGAGAGCAGCAGAAAGGAAAAAATAGCAGGGATTCACCCTACCCATGGGATCACAGTTCCTCTAAATGAAGCGGAAAGTCACTTCAAGTTTTAGGACCCTCTACTATAGCTGTGCCAGTACCACTATCAGAAGATAAATTGCAGGCTGGGGTGTAAGAGAACATAGAAAAGGAGGGCAAAATAAGGGGGTGAGGTAGAGGGGAGGGAGAGAAAGGGAAGGAGAGAGTCAATACATTAAGAGAGATTTCTACCTTCTTGCAAAGCACTGGGAAACCCATTTCATGCTTTCCAAGCCATAATTAGTTTCTGGTGTTTTCTCTGCTCATTCTGATGTCAACTTCTCGATTTTGAGGTATGTTGAGCTTAGGTAAAGGAATATAAAACAAAAAAAGAAAACAAATCAAAAGGTAAACTCACCACTGATTTATGGGACCTAGAATTTCTAGTTGTCAGCTCCAACCTTCCTATTTATTTTTCAGAATTTGTGAACGGCTAACCTGTGAATCCTGTCCACTTTTTATAGCTACATTTACAGTGGGAGAGACAAGATGTGATATGCTCCTTCTATCTTACTGCAACTGTTACTTTTTTTTTTAACTAAAATGTGAAAATTTGGGATAGTTTGATGTCATTTATTCAAATGATTTTTCTGGGTTTTTTTATTCTTGTCTAGAACTATTATCACATGTATGCTGTAATGTAGACATTGTCCCACAGGTCTCTGTGGCTCTGGTTGCTACATTTAAAAAACTTTTTTTCCCCTCTTCTTTGGAATGAAGATTTTTTTACTGTTCTTTTCCCTGTTATTTCACAACTGCTGTTGAAACTACCCAATGAATTTCTCATCAAATAGAGTATTTTTCAAATCTAACATTTCCATGTTTCTCTTCTAGTTTGTTTCTCTATTGAGATTCTCCATTTGTTGAGTCTTGTTAGTATGTTTTAGTTATTTTCATATATTAAAATAGTCAATTTGAAGACTTCATTAAATCCAGCATCGGGCCTAGTTAGCATCAGTTTCAACTGACTTTTTCCTGATTCTAGTTCATATTTTCCTAGTTTTCTTTTTTGTATGTCTAGCAGTTTTGGTTAAAGAACGAATCTCTAATATAGTAACTTAGATTCATTTTATTTTTCAGTTATTAAGATTTTCAGTAGCTGGTTTGGACTTAAATTATAGAGTGTTTTTTTTTTTTTTTTGGTCAATAGTATATGGTTAGCGTACTCCTATTCAGTTTAGCTTGGCTCCCTTGGGGATGTGTCATATCTGAATAGCTTAATAATCAGCCAATAACTTGGACAAAGGTTGTGTTCACACCTGGAGTATACAAGACTTCTACCCTCAGCCAGTTTATCTGTGTGAGGACTGGAAAATGTAATCAAAGTTGCAGCCAGTTCTCAGGTCTCTCTTAGCTTTCACTTTTTGCCAGGATGTCTCTGGTCACCCCATGTGAACAGCTTATCTCAGGCTTTCTATGATTTTCTGTTTTGAATACAGTATTTCCTTATTAAATTTCTGCTGGCCCACCACTCCAAGCTAGGTCTACAACCTCAAACTAGCAAAGCAGTAGGTTTTCTCCATTTGTTTCCAACCAAATTTCAGCAGCAAAGTCATAGGTTTTTTTATCCTCTTCTACTCCATCTTAGCTTCAATCAAGTCACTGCTTGTCATATTTCAGGCTGTTATAACAAAAATACTATAAGCCCATATCATGAGTTCCTCCCTTTCTTTATAAGGGAATTAATGCCATGAAGGGGGGGGGTCTACTCTCATGATCTAATCTAATCCTAATCACTTTCCAAAGGCCCCACCTCCATATAATATCTCACTAGAGTTAGAATTACAGTATATGAAAATATATTCAGTCTATGGCACTGATAAAGCTTCAGTTCTCACCAGGGGAACTGGGGGACCCAGGGAACTATCTAGGAACAGTTCCACGCAAAAAGGCCACAGACCCATACAGTTCCTACCTTAAATAGTTTTGTGAGAATAATTATTTCTCAAGTTTTTAACCCCCTGTAGTCAAGTTCCAGTATCCTTCAATGGCTGCTTTTTTGACAGTTTTGTCTAGTTTTATACTTGCTTTTGCAGAGTGAAACTGTCAACAATACCAGAATTAAATGGTGTTTTTTTCGTTTTTTTTTTGTTGTTGTTGTTTGTTTGTTTTTTGGTGGTACAAGGGATTAAAGCCCGGGCCTTCATTCTAAGATACATTCTCTAGCCCTTATTTAAATTTTTGTGTTTGCCAATGGCAATCATTAGAAAATCGAACAACAAGAGCTTGCATAGCTGAATCCTCATTCCTTATTAATAGGAATGTAAACTAGCACAACCATTATAGAAATCAGTATGGGGACTTCTCAAAGAACTGAAATTAGAAATTCCATGTGGCCCAGTCATCCTCCTGCTAGTTATCTTCCCCAAAGAACTTAAGTCATTATACTACAGCAATACTTGCATACCAATGTTTATGGGACCATAACTCGTAATAAATAGCTAAATCCTGGAAGCAGACCTCATACCCAAACAATTTTGTTTGGTATTCATTGTGCCTCCAGGAACCAATCAATGACAAGCACCAAGTTACTTTACCCCCTTTTTCTCTCTCCTACTCTTAATATTTTAGGGTTTTAATCTTTAATCTTTTAGGGTCAAAAGAATTTTTTTAAGAAGTATAAAGAGCCAGAGACATAGCTCAGTGATAGTGTGTTTGCTGGGCATGCACCTGGCCCTGGGTTTAATCTCTGGTACTGCAAAAAAAAAAAAAAAAAAAAAAAAAAGGATTTTGGGCTAGTGATGTGATATAGTGTTCAATGACAGAGAATTACCTAGCATGTGTAAGGTCCTAGGTTCAATCCCAACACCAAGAAAAAAACAAACAGTAGCAAGGAATGTTGAAGTGTAATAACAGATACATATTTTAATTATGTCATTCTGCATCACTTAATTTAAAAAGTTTATTATGAAGGCTGTCTTATGTAGCTTGAGCTTCTATAACAAAGTATCCACCTTTATCCATGACAGTACTCTAAGACCCACACTGTATGCCCCAAACTGCAGATATTACCAAACCTTGTAATACTATGTTTTTTCTATATATACAGTAATATATACCTATCGTAAAGTTTAATTTAGAAAGGAGGCACAGAAGCTAAATGTGGTGGGGCATGCCTGTAATGCCAGCATACAGAAGGTTGAGGCAAGATGACTGCTGCAAGTGAGGCCAGCTACACAATGAATTCAAGGCTAGCCTAGACTATACTGTGGGACATTGCATCAAAAAACAAAAGCAAAATTTTAAACAACAAATTAGGCTCAATAAGATATTGACAGTAATCAATAAAACAGAACAAGTATTATAATATATTGTAATAAAAGTTATGCAAAGGAATTGAAATTATCCCACATACACTATTGGACCATAGTGCAATGAAATTGGAAATTAATGACAAAAAAAAATCACAAAAACTCTATAAACAGTTGGAAATTAAATAACATCCTCCTGAACAACCAATGGGTCACAGATGAAATCAAAGTAGAAATTAAATCAAATGAAAATGCAGATAGAACTTACAGGAACTTGTGGGATGTAATGAAAGCAATCCTCAGAGGGAAATTTATAGCGGTGAATTCCCACCTCAGGAAAACAGAACTAACACAAATAAACAATCTTATGCTGCACCTCAAGCTCCTAGAAAAAGAATAGCAAGTCAAACCCAAAGCCCAAAGAAGACAGGATATTATAAAGCTCAGGGCAAAAATCAACACACAGGAGACTAAAAAACAATACAAAGAATTAATGAATCAAAAAGTTGGTTCTTTGAAAGAATAATAAAATAGATAAACCCCTAGCCAACCTTATCAAAAAAAGGAAAGAAAAAACTGAAATACATGCAATAAGGCATGAAAGGGGTGAAATCAATACAGATCCTGTAGAAATTCAGAAGATCAGCAATACCTACTTTGAAAATCTTTACTCTCATAGGATGAAAAACAGAGGAAATAGACATATTTCTAGATACATATGAATTGCCAAAGCTGAATGAAGAAGATATAAAAATCCTGAATAACTTAGTATCAGCCAGTGAAATTGAGAAAGTAATAAAAAATTTGCCAATGAAGAAAAGCCCGGGTCCTGATGGATTCACAGCTGAATTCCACAAGAAATTTACAGAAGATTTAACACCAATTCTTCTCAAACTCTTTAATGAAATTGAAAGGGAAGGAATTCTCCCTAATTTATTCCTGGAGGCAAGTATTATCCTGATACCAAAACCAGAGAAAGACCCAACCAAAAAAAGAGAACTATAGGCCAATCTCCCTAATGAGTATAGATGCAAAAATTCTCTATAAAATACTAGCAAACAGAATACAACAAGTCATCAAGAGGATTATACACCATGACCAAGTGGGATTCATCCCAGGAATGCAGGAATGGTTCAATATATGCAAATCAGTTAATGTAATACACCATATCAATAGAGCTTAAAGACAAAAATCATATGATCATCTCCACTGATGCAGGAAAAACCTTCAACAAAGTCCAACACTCCTTCATGATAAAAACCCTACAGAAAATAGGAATAGGTGGCCCCTACCTCCAGCTGATCAAAGCCATCTATAACAAACCAAAGGTCAAAAAGGTTTTTCATACAAAATGGTCAAAAATTGAAAGCTTTCACTTTAAAATCAGGAACAAGACAAGGATATCCACCGTCACCACTCCTATTCAATATAGTTCTGGAAATATTAGCAAGAGCAATTAGACAAGAGAGAGAAATAAAAGGAGTAAGGATAGAAAAGCAAGAAGTGAAATTACCACTATTCACAGATGACATGCTACTCTACGTAGAAGACCCTCAAAACTCTACCAAAAGGCTCAGGGATTTAATAACCAAATTTAGTAGCATAGCTGGATACAAAGTTAACACTCAAAAATCAATAGCATTCCTACACACAAGCAACAAACAGAGAAATTAGGGAAACCACACCTTTCACAACACCATCTAAAAAGATGAAATACTTAGGAATCAGTCTAACAAAAGAAGTAAAAGATCTATACAGTGAAAATTATAGTGCTCTGAAAAAAGAGATCAAAGAGGATATCAGAAAATGGAAAGATATTCCTTGTTCATGGAGAGGAAGAACCAACATTGTGAAAATGGCCATACTCCCAAAATTGTTGTACAGATTCAATGCAACCCCGATTAAAGTACCATTAGCATACCTCACAGATCTAGAGAAAACACTCCTAAAGTTCATCTGGAACCAGAAGAAGCCTACAATAGCAAAAGCAATCTTGGGAAACAAAGGAAAGGCAGGAGGCATCACAATTCCTCACTTGAAATTATATTACAA